GTTGAAATCAAGAGTCAGACATTTAACTGAATGAGTCACCCAGGTGCCTCCAAATGGAATTCTAAGATATTCAAGTAGGCTACAAGAAGTCAAGAAAAGAGAAACAGAAAGGAAATAAGAGGGAAAAAAACAGAAAACAAAAAATAAAATGGCTGAATCAAGCCCTAACAGTAATCTATAATTACTTTAAATATAAATGGTCTAATTATACAAGTTGAAAGGCAGAGATTGGTATTAAGGATTTAAAAAGAAATATAACCAAGTTATATACTGTCTACAGGAGACTCATTTCAAGCATGATGGGGTAGCCTGAAGATAAAAGAATGAAAAAAGATATCTTGTGCTAACATTATTTCTTTAAAGCAACACTGGCTATCTTACGGTCAGAAAAAGTGGACTTTACAGCAAAGAAAATAACTGGATAAGGAGAGACAGGTCATAATGATAAAAGGATTACTCCACCAAAAGACAACTTGTATATGCAACGAACAATAGATGTTCAAATACATAAAGCAAAGACTAATAGAACTGAAAAGGAAAAAGAGAAAAATGTATAGTTATAGCTGGGAATCTCTCAGCAATGAAAAGAACTACTAGATAGACAATCAACAATGTGTGGCAGAATGGAACAACACCATCAACCAACAGGATGTAATTGACATGTAACTGACATCCAACAACAACAGAACAGGCCTTGTTTCCAAGTGCCCATGGAACACTCACTAAGATACACCATATTCTGGGTTAAACAACATATGTAAATGTAAAATAATTAAAATCATATAACTGATGTCTTTAAGACAATAGAAAGACGAGACAGATCTCCAAATACTCAGAAACTAAAGAACATACTTCTACATAATCCACAGGTCAAAGAGGAAGTTTCAAAGGAAATTTTAAGAATATATAAAACTCAGTGAAAATGAAAATACAACATATAAAAATACGTGAGATGCAACAAAATCATGTTGAGAGAGAAATCTATGGCACTACATGCTAACATCAGAAATGAGAAAGATCTCAATGAATAATGAAGAAACTAGAGAAAAAAGTAAAATAAGCCTAAAGCAAGCAGAGAGGAAAGTGAAAAATATCAGAGCAAAAATCAGCAAAATTGGAAGTAGAGAAAAATGAATTAAAGACCAATAAAAAAATAAAACTCCACTGAGAAAGATAGAGAGAAGGCACAAATTACTACTATCAGACATGAAATACAGGTTTACCACTAAAGACTACAGAATACTAGTATGCTGATAAAGAGAAAACCAAAGACAGCACACAAAAAAGAAAACTATATACCAATATCTCTCATATCTATATATTAACAAAATATTAGCAAAAAGAATCCAGCAATGTATAAAAAGTATTATATACCATGATCAAGTGGGACCTATTCCAGGTATGGTTAACATTCAAAAATTAATCAATGTAATCCACCATATCAAAATGCTAAAGAAGAAAAAGCATATGATCATATAAATTAACTAAATACATACCATATGACCCAGCAATTACATTCTTGGGCATTTATCCCAGAGAAATAAAAACATATTCACACAAAAACTTTAAAGGTTCATAGCAGTTGTAATTGTAATAGCCTGGAACTGGACACAACCCAAATGTCCTTCAACAATAAAATGGTTAAAAACGGTACAATCATACCACAGAATACTACTCAGCAACAAAAAGAAACAAATTATTGACACACTAAATAATTTGAATGGATCCCAAAGGAATTATGCAATGTAAGGAAATTTCAAAAAATTTATATACTATATGATTATGTTTACACTACATACACTCTTGAAATAGGCAAAATTGTAGAGTTGGAGAACAGACTAGTATTGCCAGCAGTTAGGGATTGGGGTGGGATGAGATGGTTGGTTATATGGAACTATATACGTGTATACACACACAAATGAGTGCTTGCGAAATGGGGGAAATCTCAGTAAATTCTGTGGATATATTAATGCCAACTTCCTGATTTTTAAAATTGTACTATAGTTATACAAGATGCTACCATTGGGGAAGGTTAGTTGAAGAGCAAATGGGGACCTCTTTGTACATTTTTTTTTTTGCAACTTCCTGTTAATATATAATTATTACAAAATAAGAAAACTAAAACTACACATGTATTTATTTAATTGCAATTGCTGTAAGGGGAATTAAAGAGAAAAACTTGTGGGAATCTTACCACACAGCCCCATGTAAGCTTCAAAACATACAGCTGAGAATCAACACATAATACAGATGCATGAACAGAATCATTTTTGGTCTGCTGTAACTATTAGATTTGTACTTATTCCATCTTTCTCCAAATAACATATTTAGAGAAGTAATCGTTTTCTATGTTGACTTGATGATCATCTCACCAACAGCAACAAAACCACGTTTTTTGTGGTTTTTTTTTTTTTTTGGTAGTTCTTTTCGTTTGTGAAGTACATTCTCATCCTTCTCAATTGACCTTAACAATACCTGCAAAATAGGCAGGACAACTGTTGTAATATTATTTGTCCAAGATTATAGGGCTTTTAAATGGCAAAATCAATTCTATAGCCTTCTGACTCCTATTCCAGTATTTTCCAGTCACATATCACTCTGAAATTGTATGCAGTATTACAGAATCCAAAGTAGAAAATAGCATAATATCGTAGGAGAAAGTCAGAGAAGGAATAGGCACGATGCACATTATACCAAAATTTGTGCAACAGTTGCTTGATAAGTGGCCATGAGGCCAGCAATTTTACATTTTTTTAAAGTTTTATATTTCATTAGATTTTGCTATTTTAATGACTGCATACTAACCTCCAGTGAGATTCTTCTCAACCTGTATAACTGGATAAACTTATATGATGAATATAAAGTCCATCACCCTCACTGAGGAAATATCAAAACTGAACCATGTATGACACTCACGATAAACTTGCAGGATTATCTTTTCCCTTTTCTTGAAAAAGGCAAAAAAAAATTTTTTTTCATAACTCTTTTGGGGATTTAAGCCACGAACTATGACTTCAAACTGTATTGTAATCACACACAAAATAATTTTTTGAATGTCTCAGAAAGCAGCTGTCAGCTTCTGGACATCAGTGAAAACCAAGAATTCTACAAATTTGTATGAACTGCTCTATTTATATATTAAATATACTCATTAAAAGTAATATGCTAATTCTCCTTTGAAGTACACTTAGATTTCAGAATTAGCACTATTCTAAATATTATTTTCTAAATATAATAGTACTACAAATGAGAAAATGCTGAAGAGGATGGGCTTTTTAGGAAAGAAGAAGAAAATCACCTATTACAAAGGTCTAAGTTATTAAAATAAACGCTGACTTTAGAGGAGCACCTACAATGTTGCTTTGTTTGCCCCCCCCATATATACCTATGCTGGGAAGAGGGCCATAGGTCTTTAAGCCTTCTTTACCTTTAGGTGGAAAAATGGAGGGAAACAAAGTCCAAAAGAGACATTCTTATTTATCGTTTTAGAAAGAAGTTTAAAAAGAAACTTTCATGAATAAAGATTCCAGAGATTTTCCCAACTTTTCTGGGTTTCTTTTTTCTTTTTGTTATACCTGTCACTTTCACCACAGGGATCTGTTCTTAGAATGAAAGTGGCTAAGAACTACCGGTCCAACGTTAGACTATGAACTGTTCCAGGGTTGGCAGACCAGACACAAGGCAGGTGTCAGGTTACTACTCCTGAGGGAAAAAATGAATTTGTGAATCAAAGAATACATGTCTCATCCTGCCTTGTGTGGAAAAATAAGAAAACTCAAGAGTGAACGTTTATACAGTTAAGGTCCAGGGTGAAGGGTGATTGTAAAGCACTGTGAGTACCGATGCCTGTGCAAAGATCTAGAGAGTTGTGGGTATGGGTGTGTCATTCCGAAACAGTCGGGATTTCATGAGTGCTTATGGCGTGTAAAACACTGTTTAAGTGCTATATGAATTACCTCAGTGAATAAAACATTAACAAATGGATACTGATGTATCCCATTTTATAGAGACGAGAAAAACTGAGGCCCAGACGCCTTCCGTAAAATACAATGCAGGGCAAGTGGTAGAGGCAACTGAAAGCCTGTGATTTCCCCAACATGCCGCACTCTAAATTCAGGGGAACAAGCTCGGTTCTGACCTTGGTACCACAGAAAAATACTTAAAAAAAAAAAAAATTATTTTAGAGAGGGCGGAGAACCCGTGAGCAGAGGGAGGGACAGAGAGAGCAAGAGAATCTCAAGCGGATTCCGCGCTGAGCTCAGAGCTGCACTCCCCGCTGGATCCTACCACCCTGAGATCATGACCTGAGCTGACATCAAGAGTGGGTGCTCAACCGACTGAGCGACCAAGGCGCTCCAACGCCGCAAAAAGATACTTGAGCAACCAAGGCGGAACGGCAACCATGTGGTCAGAGGCGGCGTGTCAAGTTCAGAGATTGGCCCACGAGTTAATTCTCAAGGGTACCTGGTGTAACAAATTTGGGAGAGGCGTGGGGGAGGAGGCTGATCCTACGAAAATCCTCAGATCAAACCAAAAGAGCCTTTAATGACCCCGCGGATGGACAAGTGGGCAAACAGATGCACGGAGCGAAGACAGTGACTTGTCCAGGGCTAGTCAGAGGCTAAGCTGGTACAAAAACTGTTCTTTGGAGTCCCCGGCCAGACTTTGGCCCCTCCTCGTCACTCCTCCTGCCCAGTTGCCCAATATCCCAGCCCCTACCTCTCCGAAGGACTGCTGTAAGACGCCCGGCCGGCCCGCTGCAGTTAGCAGTATAAATGGCCCGGTACTGCGCCGCGGAGCGACTGCTGGGAGAGCACCAAAGTGGTTGTGAACCCCGAGCGGTCGCAGCACGGTTATCCACGCCCCTGCGGACCGTCCGGCCCAGGGCAGCACGGGCTCCTCGAGGAGCCACACAAAGCAAGGGCTCTGGCTCCCACGTGCCTGCCTGCCAGTCAGCCCTCGCGAAAAATCGTACCCCCGAACTGCTGGCAATGCCTCACCTGTCCACCTAGAATGCAGCGGGCTCTACCGCAACGCTTCTGCTTTGACGTCACCGGGAGCGGAAATCCCGCCTTCCCTGACGTCACAGCGCCGCGCCGCGCCACGCCGCGCAGAGCTGCGCCGGGTGGTGCAGCGGGGAGGCGGTCCCTTTAGACGCGCGACGGGTTCAGGGTTGGGCGGTCTTTGAAGGTAATGTGGGGCGTGTGTTCCAGGTTCAGCGAGACCGTCAAAAGGGTGTAACTGTTCTGAAACTTTCTCTTCCCTTTCATCCGAATGTCTTCTTCCTTTTACTGCAGTCTCTCTGATACACTGCTTCCCTTACGCCTTTCTCCATGCTCGGTCTTTCCCACCTCCGTTAATGGCTGTATCTCTTCCTTCCCCTTACCCACGTACGCCGGACAGTGGATTCTCAGTTGACCTTCTTTATTAGCAGTAATACGGCCAGCCACTGCTACTCCCGTTTTAGCAAAATGTGGAAAATGTCGATTCCAGAGGTATTTCAAACTTAACGCACCCGACCTCCGTGAGACAAAGGGCTTGTGAACTGTTGGCATTCTCAGCACCTGCCACGTCATAGGTGATCTGTCCAAAAGTGCAGTAGTGAATGTGACATCGTTTTGGAGTGAGGGGTAGAAGCAGATGCGTAGAAACTTAGCCACCGATAAGAAAGAAGCCTTGATCCTTTTGTATTCAAAACCTTAGTGATAAGCACCACCCTCCAACCAGTCCAGGACTGGTACCTCTTCTTCATGACCTTTCCATTTTTCAGTTTTACTTCCTTAATACAATAGTTAACACGATGAGTTTAGAAAAAGCCTCTCACTGCCTAAGAGGTTTTGTTCTTTTTTTTGTTTGTTTTGGTTTTGTTGTTGTTGTTTTGTGTGTGAATTAACTCATTTTTAATCCTCATAGCAGCCCAATGAGGTCAGTATTAACATGTGACCACAGAGTCTGGAAAAACAAATACACAAAATAAATGAATGATTACATTACAATGGCATTACGCATTCGAGGTATTCTCTCTCATTAGTAATGTACGACTCAATGTGTGCATTTCAATCAACATGTTTCACTAATGCAGCCTTTCAATCCATGCTGGTGCCTTTGTGGTGCACTGCTCAAGTGATTTATGTCTCTGATTTCCTTCAATAAGCCTATGCCAGAAAACATAAGCAATCATTTTTTTTAAAACTATCTTTCTAGACTGATGACCACTCTATTATTATCGCCATTTTTATTTGAAGGATAAAATAAGGCACAGAGAAATTAACTTGCCCAAAGTCACTTGGCAAAGCTGGATTCTACAACTCTGTATTGTACATCATGCTTGGATGAGTTCCCACCACTTCTGCTATCATTGAAGCTCTTACTCTTCTACTCCTGGGTTACTTGCAGCAGCCTCATTGTTTTCCATATCTTCTCTCCTTGCTGTTTCTGGAATGCCCAATCTCTCTTCCATATAGCTTTCATATTTTTGTGCACACTGTTCTCTTTATTGGGGTTCCTTTCCTTATCCCTCCATTAGCCTAACTCCAACACACGATGCAAGATTCACTTTGGCATGGCATTCCCTGGTGCCCCCAGGTGGGGTGAGGTCCCTCTTTTATAGTCCTGTTTCACCACCTGCGTTCTTCTGTTACGGTGCTTATTTGTCTCCAACATCAGACTGTGAGATTCCAGAGAACAAGTACCCCTTCCTTCTTTTATCTTTGTATTCCTCAGGTCTAGAAAAGAGTGTGAGACATGGTGAGCATTCAATAAGTCTATATTTAAATGATTCCACTCAAGTAGTAGAGTGTAGTGCCCTGTGAGGCCCATAGGATCTGTTTGGCATGTGAGCCACTGGTATTGTGGAGTTTTCATATGAGTATCTTTTTTTCCACACTGTTTTTCAGGTCTAATTAAGACAGAGATTGCCCTGCAAATTATGCTATATACAATCCTTGAGTAAAGAGTGTTAATGTTCTTATGCATGTATTAATTTATTTGAAGAGCTGCATATTTTGAAATCAAATCCTTTTTTCCTAGAATTATCCTCCATCAGTGCTTCTGAAACCTTAATGTGCATAAGATTCATCCAGAGAGTTTGTTAAAACAGATTCTGATTTAGTAGTTCTTGAGCGGGGCCTAGAATTTGCATTTCAAACTCAGAGATAATGCTGCTACTATTGCTATTCTTCAGGTCATGCTTCTCCTGGTTCTGCACTATATGATGGGCATAGAGACAATGTGTCGTGGGAGGGTGATGATCTTGACTTATAGTCATTTTTACCTAAGACTATGTATAAGTGTCATCACTTCTAGCATTCACAACAGAAGTTCCATGAAATATTTTTTTGAATATATAGCTGCTATGTGCTAGGTATTGTTTCAGGTGCTAGAGACAAAACAGAAGGACTTTTGCCTTCTCGAAGGACAAAAAAAAAAAAAAGCGAGAAAGCAGGAAATAGAGTAATAAAAGAAAATTAAATGGTGGGGCGCCTGGATGGGTCAGTTGGTTAAGCCTCCAAGTCTTGATTTCAGTTCAGATCCTGATCTTGGGGTTGTGAGTTCTAGCCCCGTGTTGGGCTCTGCACTTAGTGGGGAGTCTGCTTGAGATTCTCTCTCTCCCTCTCCCTTTCCCCTCCCCCTGCCCCTTCTCATGCACACATACTTTCTCTAAAATAAATAAATAAATCTTTGAGTATATATAAATAAATAAATATTTAAATAAATAAGTCTTTAAAAATTAAAAAAAATGGTAATGTGAAAGAGAGTGGCTCAGTTAGGTTTGGCAGTCAGGGAGGCATCTAAGCTGTCCTAAATGGTAAGGAATCAACCAGAAGATGTAGTGGAAAGATATTACTGCTTTCCCTCTCATTCTCTGTGCCATTCATTCATTCATTTATAAAGATTTTGCTTATTTATTTATTTGAGGGGGGGAGCGAGCGCACATGAGCAGGGAGGAAGGGCAGAGTGAGAGATAGAAGCAGACTCCCCACCAAGAAGGGAGCCCATTGCAGGGCTCAATACTAGGGTCCTGAGATCATGACTTGAGCTGAAGGCAGAAGTTTAATTGGCTGAGCCACCCAGATGCCCCTCTTTATTTATTTATTCAAAAAAATTTTAATTCTAATGTAGTTAACGTGCAGTGTTACATTAGTTTCAGGTGTATAATGTAGTAATTCAACATATCACTCAGTGCTCATCACTATATGTGTCCTCTTAATCCCTGTCACCCATTTCACGCATACCCACTGACCCCCTGCACCCCCTGCCCTGGTAACCATTTTTTCCTCTATAGTTAAGAGTGTTTCTTAGTTTGTCTCTCTTTTTTGGTCCCTTTGTTCTTTTATTTCTTAAGTTGCATATATGTGAGAAATCATTTGGTATTTGTCTTTCTCTGATTGACTAATTTCACTTAGCATTATACTCTCTAGCTCCATCCATGTTGCAAATGGCAAGACTTCATTCTTTTTTATGGCTCAGTAATATTCCATCATATGTATATCTACCACTTCTGTATACATTCATCTATCAATGGACACATGGGCTGCTTCCATAATATGGCTATTGTAGATAATGCTGCTATAAACCTAGGGGAGCCTCTATCCTTTTGAATTAGAGTTTTTCTATTCTTTGGGTAAATACCCAGTAGTGTGATTCCTGGATCATACAGTGGTTCTATTTTTAATTTTGGGGGGAACCTCCATACTATCCTTTAATACTAGCTGACTGGTATCTTAGAGCACTGTCCTTGATCCACTTCTCTATCTAAACACTCTCCCTACTCTCACAGCGTTAAATACCATTTATAGTTAACTCTTAATGTCATATCTCCAGCCTAAAGTGTTTACATAGGTTCCAGGCTTATAGATCAGAGAGCCTCCCTAACATTTCCACTTAAAAGCCAAATAGGCATCTCAAACTTAACTTCGAGTTCACACCCAGAACAATTGATTTCCGACTCCAAGGGCAGGAATGCATCTAGATCTGGGTACAAAGTTGAAACAGGATCTGAGAGGAAAGAAACCAGTTGGGAGCTGAGGCAGAATTCTCTCTCCTGTCTTCACTTCTCTCTAGGCATCTGTTTTGTCATCATTCTTTGAGCCCCAGGTTCATGACAGAATATGGCTATTTATGGCTCATGCATTCTATGTTGTGAATTGAGCCATCATTATTGCTGTCTAAATAGTTTATACTTTCCACCCTCTAGGCTCTTGCTAGGAATATACTTCCTTCACAGTTCAGAGGAGGGTGGGAAGATGGGAATGACTGAGAGGATGTGAGTGGTTCTGTCCAGAGAGTTGTGAAGAAAAATGTATGTCACTTCCAGGCTGAGCAGTTGATTCTTTACGTGAGTTCCTCCAAACTTCACCTGTTTCTTTGACAAGGTGATGGCAACATTCAAGATGGTGTCTGTCCCAATAGTCTGTATCCCTGCTCTTGCATAAAGCCATCGATCATCCTGTGATGAACATATGGGAGAAAGAAATACACCTCTGTTGTTATTTTTGAGGTTGTTATGACAGTAAAATGTAGCCTGTGCAGACTGACACACAGGGACAGCCACACAGAGAGGCTCTTCTCATCTCTTGATTTTAATTCCAAATACTCAGGGGAGATTTTCTGATTGGCTCCACTTGGGTCTGGTTTCTAGCACTTATCCAATGATCAATGACAAGGGCTAGGGGTCATATTGTACCTTATACAGAGGGGCCCTCTGTTACAGTAAAGTGGATCATAGTGAGTAGGCAAACTTTCTACAAGGGTGTCTACTGTAAACACATGGCTATAAAATTAGACCATTGTATGCAAATTTAAAAACAGTATATGAAATTGAAACACTTTAACCTTTTACATAAAAATTTTAGACTCTCATTACTCATTCAATGTTTATTGACGTCCTGCTACATTCCAAACTCTTCTAGGCACCAAGAACACAAAAGCAATCCAGAGAGAAAAACCCTTGCACTCACAGAAACACAACAAACAAATGAAATGCATTAATATACAATGATGGGGGAACTAAAAGGGTAAGAATCAAGAGAGAGGAGTGCATTGGTTACCTATTGTT